AGTCAGAGACAGAGACAGAGACAGAGACAGAGTCTGAGTCAGGATCAGAACCAGAACCAGAACCAGAACCAAAACCAAAGTCAGAGACAGAGTCTGGACCAAATCAGAACCAGAACCAGAACCAGAACCAGAGTCAGAGTCTCTCCTGTGGACGAAGACAAAGTCAAAAATAGTCCAAGACGTTACACAAGAGCAGAGAATTCAAACAACAAGAAGAAGAAGAAGAGGAAGAAGAGGAAGAAGAGGAAGAACTGTTTACAAATTCTTTTTCTCTCAGAGTGGACGGTTCCAGGGTCAGGTCCTGGTCAGACCCAGTTCTGCTCTTCAGCTGTGGTACAGTGGTACAGTGGTGCAGTGGTACAGTGGTACAGTGTTAGTCTGCAGTGACGTCAGACGATAAACAACTCCAACTGGATCATCTGGTCCTGCTTCACATTTTCCAGCAGTGAAGACGTCCAGGCCTGCAGAGGCAGCAGGGAGCGGCTCTTCCCGGATCAACGCTGGCCTCAGTCCAGGGATCACCTGAGTCACGCAGCCGCGCTCTGCACCGAACACTGCACCACAGCAGGCTGAAGACATCAACACCTGATTGGACAGAATAAATATTTTCTCGGAGGTCAGCGGAGGGGATGAGAACCTTCCAAACACGGACGTGATGTATCTGTGGAACGTTGATGGAATAAACAGAACCGCGGACATGTGGTTCCAATGAATGACGCCGAGAACAGCGCCCACCTGTGGTATTAGCAAACACTCTGGTGGAAACTTATCATATGTTTATATTTACTAATATATATTTATATGTTGATGTTGTTTTTAAACGTATTATTAAACAATCACTTACCCCCCCCCATGTCTTTTTACCCCCAGGGTTTTTGATTTCATTCAACCTCATGGAGACCCCCTCCCNNGCTCCTGGTCCTCGGACTGGTCTGTGGCGTCCAGCAGATCCGGTGCAGTTCGTCGGACAGCGGCCGGGGCGGCGCCAGGACCCAGGAATTTGAAAGCAGTGAAGACGGCCTAGAGAGGGAGTTCCTGTACGCCGGGCGGAGTCGGCGTTCCCCCGGTGAGCAGCAGCAGCAGCAGCAGGACAAGTGCTCCTACACTTTCATCGTGCCTCAGCAGAAAGTGACCGGCGCCATCTGCGTCAACTCCAAGGAGCCGGAGGCGCTGCTGGAGAACCGGGTCAACAAGCAGGAACTAGAACTTTTGAATATAGAGCTCCAGAAACAGAAGCGGCAGATCGAGACGCTGCAGCAGCTGGTGGAGGTGGACGGAGGGATAGTCAACGAGGTGAAGCTCCTGAGGAAGGAGAGTCGCAACATGAACTCCAGGGTGACTCAGCTGTACATGCAGCTGCTCCATGAGATCATCAGGAAGAGGGACAATGCCCTGGAACTGGCCCAGATGGAAAACAAGATCCTGAACCAGACGTCGGAGATGCAGCAACTGACCAGTCGATACAAAGACCTGGAGCACAAGTACCAGCACCTGGCCTCGCTGGCCACCAACCAGTCCGGCGTCATCACCCAGCTGGAGGAGCAGTGTCAGAGTCGACCCCCGTCTCGTCACTTCCCCGTGCCTCAGCCGCAGCCCCGACCTCAGCCGCCCCCACCCCCCCCGCCCCCGAACAAGCCGTAC